TCAGTTTCAGCAGCGGCTGAATCTGGACGCCAGTTCTGACTTACATACAGATTCAACTTAAGAACAAACCTACAGTCCCTATCTTGTATGTAACCCGGGGACTGCCTGTATCCCCATTTTACAGTTAATTAAAAGTGTTGCTCACTCTCATTTTTATCACAAGTCTCGCTGTTTGTGTTTTCTTAACATGATTTTAAGAACTAGGCATTATTTCATGAGAATCTTAGCTTTAATTTTTAATAAATAGTTTTTTAGATCTGAAATTTGGTACTCAAAGCTGAGGATTCTAGGTTTTAATTACTAGATAATGCTTCCTACTTTGCAAAATTTGTTAATGTAAGCGTTATAGTAGTAGTTTTGGTTTATACTGGCAATTTAAAAAATGCACAGTAAGAGTTATGTAGTCTCTACACACTAAAATATAGACGCGCATCTTCTCTCAAAGATCATGTACAAATCTCTAAGCTGTTGTCAGGGTTGCATGCATGTGTGTTGCTTTAGGAAGAGACTTACAAATAACAGTTAGGCATCCACTTTTGAAAATCATCCCTTAATTATAAAGATTGTATATGTCCTGACTAAATCAGCAGATGGGTGCATTTTATTAAGCCGTTAAAGTAGAACTGACTGGTTAACAATACACCTCATTTGGAACTAAAAGTCTACAATCAGGTAGCATCAGAGGGGGAAAAAGCAAATACAGTACCATGTTGTGTTAAACTACTAAAAAAGGAAAAGTTTTAAAAAAATGTACAAGGTAAGGAAACTGTTCTTGTGCTTGTTTCATTTAAACTTAATGAGGTTGAAAGCTGCATTTTTCTCCTGTATGGTAAAGTTTCAAAACTGAATTAAGTCAATGTTCAGTTATAAACTTTTGAAAATAACTATAACATTTTGTTCACTTACTAGCATTTCAGAATTACTAACAACTTCATTACTAACAACTAAATTCTTGATGTGTTCGTAACTCTGAGGTTCCACTGAATATAAAAACGCTGCTTAATGTCTGCAGAGTAATACAGATACATTCCCTGATAGCAGCTTTAAAGCAAACAAAAGGAAGCTTTTCTTCACACAGTGTATGGTCGGCCTGTGGAATTCCTTGCCAGAGGATGTTGTGAAGACCAGGACTTGAACAGGGTGTTCCTATTTCCTGCCCTTGTTTAAAGGTCTCTTGTCTTGTTGGTTTTCTGACCTGATAGCATGTGGTTTTCCTTAGAGGAGGAATTATCATGGTGTCCTTAATTTAATTTAAAGCAATTTCTTAATAAGTATAAGTGAGCTTCACACCTTAATAGCTGGTCTCTCTTTCATTAACTCTCTTAGGCCATATCTCCTTTCAAAAAATAAATCGTATTTTTCATTTGTAACTTGAGTAGATCATGCAAATAATACTTGAAAAAATGTTAGCTAGTTGTGGTTAACCCTAAGCTCCCACATGTGTTGACCATGACCCACTAACATGGGTTGATAACTGGAAAACAAAGGGTAGGAAAAATGGTAAGTTTTCAAAGTGGAGAAAGGTAACTATTGGTGTCCCCCAAGGGTTCATACTGGGACCAATCCTATTCAACCTATTTATAAATGATCTGGGAAAGGAGTAAACTGTGAGGTGGCAAAATTTGCAGATGATACTAAACTGTCCAAGATAATTAAGACCAAAGCAGACTGTGAAGAGCTTCAAAAAGATCTCACCGAACTAAGTGATTGGGCAACAAAATGGAAAATGAAATTTAATGTTAGTAAATGTAAAGTAATGCACATTTGAAAAAAAATAATCCCAACTATACTTACAATATGATGGGGACTAATTTAGCTACAACTACTCAAGAGAGAGATCTTAACGTCATTGTGGATAGTTCTCTGAAAACATGCACTCAATGGGCAGCGGCAGTCAAAAAAGCAAACCAAATGTTAGGAATAATTTAAAAAGGGATAGAGAATAAGCCAGAGAACATCTTATTGCTTCTATATAAAACCATAGAACACCCACACTGTGAATACTACATACAGATGTGGCCACCTCATCTAAAAAATGATATATTGGCATTGGAAAAAGTTCAGAGAAGGGCAACAAAAATTATTAGGGGTTTGAAACAGGTCCCATATGAAGAGAGATTAAAAAGACTGGGACTTCTCAGCTTAGAAAAGAGGAGACGGGGAGAGGATATGATAGAGGTCTATAAAATCATGACTGGTGTGGAAAAAGTGAATAAGTGAAAGTTATTTACTTGTTCCCATAACATAAGAACTAGGAGTCACCAAATCACATTAATAGATAGCTAGCTTCGCGTCTCCCTGGTTTGCTGGGGGGAAGCAGCTAGTGCGGGGTTGCCTCACCCCGTTTGTAAGTAGGGATCTGATGTAAGTCGGATCCATGTAACCCAGGGACTGCCTGTACACAAAAATAACGAAAAGGTGAAGACCGATGTGGTGGAGCTGCACGCAGTTCAAGCAGCAGCTGCAGACTGGCAAGTCTGACTAACCTTGTGCATGTCCTGCTTTGGGATGACTGGTAGAGTCTGCATCTTACTCCGTTGTAAATGCGAGCTGCGGATGTAAATTGGGGAGTTTTAGGAGTTATCTCACGTGAAAAAAGGTGTTGTAAATGCGGGGAGTCATAAGTCAGGGTTCACCAGTATATGAAAAAGACAGCTCATGTTTCCAGCACCAGGGACACCCTGAAAGTATTGATTCCACTGATCCACATTCACACACCTTCTTTATTTAATTTCTTTTGATTGCCAAAGGACAAACGGGTCTGTTACTGCTTTAATTAGAGAGAAATTCATGGAGGTTAGGGCCATCAAGGGCTATTAGCCAGGATGGGTAGGAATGGTGTCCCTAGACTCTGTCGGAGGCTGGAAATGGGTGATGGGAGAGGGATTGCTTGAAGATTTCCTGTTCTGTTCACTCCCTCTGGAGCATCTGGCATTGGCCACTGTTGGCGGACTGGATACTGGCCTAGATGGATCTTTGGTCTGACCTAGTATGCACTTTCTTATGTTATTACGTTGCATGTATTAAAAACGTGACTTCACTATGTACAAAATTTAGCTGTTTTACTTCTTTAGATACTGGGACAGATGTGAGCTAGTTTTGCTACCACATCAGTATGTGAAGTGAGAACTTGGGAGATAACTCAATTACAAATGGATCTTCCCAGAACTCACCTAGATTTGTTGTGGTTGGAGAAGGGTGTATCTTCGCACAGAAAGAAACCAAAAAGGTCATTCTTTATATTCAAATCTTTATATTTAAATATCAGATGAAGGTTTGTAGACTTTTGCAACCTGCTATGGTGTTTTAGATGCATCTTTTGAGACTTGTGGTGTGGAGTGGTTACAGAGAAGTTTACTGAGCAATTGTTTCAGTACCAATATGAAGTCAGATGTCTGTTTTAGTACAGCTGTTTTATTCAAGTATGTGAATCGTTACTTCTGAGTAATTTACAGAGTGGAATATAATCCCAATTATACTTACAATATGATGGGGACTAATTTAGCTACAACTACTCAAGAGAGAGATCTTAACGTCATTGTGGATAGTTCTCTGAAAACATGCACTCAATGGGCAGCGGCAGTCAAAAAAGCAAACCAAATGTTAGGTAGTGACTACAGAAATGGAGGAAAACTAAACTAAATAGTTCAAATAATACAGGCAGTCCCTGGGTTACGTACAAGATAACACCCACACTGTGAATACTACATACAGATGTGGCCACCTCATCTAAAAAATGATATATTGGCATTGGAAAAAGTTCAGAGAAGGGCAACAAAAATTATTAGGGGTTTGAAACAGGTCCCATATGAAGAGAGATTAAAAAGACTGGGACTTCTCAGCTTAGAAAAGAGGAGACGGGGAGAGGATATGATAGAGGTCTATAAAATCATGACTGGTGTGGAAAAAGTGAATAAGTGAAAGTTATTTACTTGTTCCCATAACATAAGAACTAGGAGTCACCAAATCACATTAATAGATAGCTAGCTTCGCGTCTCCCTGGTTTGCTGGGGGGAAGCAGCTAGTGCGGGGTTGCCTCACCCCGTTTGTAAGTAGGGATCTGATGTAAGTCGGATCCATGTAACCCAGGGACTGCCTGTACACAAAAATAACGAAAAGGTGAAGACCGATGTGGTGGAGCTGCACGCAGTTCAAGCAGCAGCTGCAGACTGGCAAGTCTGACTAACCTTGTGCATGTCCTGCTTTGGGATGACAGGTAGAGTCTGCATCTTACTCCGTTGTAAATGCGAGCTGCGGATGTAAATTGGGGAGTTTTAGGAGTTATCTCACGTGAAAAAAGGTGTTGTAAATGCGGGGAGTCATAAGTCAGGGTTCACCAGTATATGAAAAATGAAAAAAGGTGTTGTAAAGGCACCTTAAGTCAGGGTTCACCAGTATATGAAAAAGACAGCTCATGTTTCCAGCACCAGGGACACCCTGAAAGTATTGATTCCACTGATCCACATTCACACACCTTCTTTATTTAATTTCTTTTGATTGCCAAAGGACAAACGGGTCTGTTACTGCTTTAATTAGTGTCTTAGTGCCATTGTGTATGTGTGATACCATTTGGCATATTCCTGCCTTCAATTTTGTTCAGAGGTTTGCCTGGACTTCAAAAATTAAGGTACATGGAAGAAGTATATTGGGAACTGAAGTGGAATAAAACATTTTGAATTGTTTCTTCAGTTGTATTTTCTTTTCCTAGACAACAGTGATGGAGACATTACCAGTGAATGTGAAGCCTATGACAGTGTCTTCAGCCATTTGGAAGAATTGAGATGTAATCTGGAGCAAGAAATAGGTTTTGATAAATTCATCGAAGTTTATGATAAAATAAAGGTTTGTGGAGTTCTCTAAGCAAAAAATCTACCTTGACTTGCTCATTACTGTATATTGTTGTATCACTAGAATTTAAGTATATTCTTTTAACTGTGTATTCTGTTAAGCATACTAATGTTCATACAGAAAACATTACTGTATGTGGCCTAAAATATTAATGTTTTGTGTTAATCCACAGTTCTTTTTCTAAATTTGTGAATTGTTTCACCTTATGTTAATTTAACATTGGACCATCTACATTGTCTTCTGTCATAGGAGATGCATGAAGATGAAGATGAGAATATTGATATTTGTTCAACAATAGTTCAGAGTATTCTGGGAAATGAATATAAACATCTCTATGCAAAAATTCTTCATTTAGTTATGGCAGATGGAGCCTATCAGGAAGGTAATGTTCTTAACACGTTACTGGAATTGCATGTTATTTCAATATTGTATTCTTTCACCTGGATAAACTAATGTGTAATAGTTTCTGATATTAATAATTCTAAAACCGTTTTTAATTCATTATTACATTCATGACTTGTATTAAATACTACCAAAAATGTACAAAAGCTATTGCGGGGGGGAAGTTAATTCTTACAGCAAATAGTTAAGGAAATGTATCACATTTCTCACATTAAATATTTTCTATTAATACTCTGAACCTTCTTTTTGTAGCTAATCGCATATGTGTACCTAAAGGTAAAGTTGGTTATTTAGCTTTGGAGCACATACAGATCAAAGCAGAAATGAGGGAGATAAAGAAGGAAAATAATACTGAAGTTTTCAAAACTAAATGATTTTGCTGAAAAACAGGGATTGTTACAAATTAATATTGCTTCTCCTTCAGTGAGTTGCAGTGGTAGCTAAACCATGTTCTCTGCAGGTCCTCCTATCCACTCTGCACAGGTTACTCTTCCTTTTCACAAAAAGCTTTCAGAAATGCTGACCATGCTTCTCCTATCTCAGTACACTGGCACACTTAAGCTAGCTTGACCTTTTCAGAAACCAAGCCATTGCTTTTATCTGGGGTCATACAGCTGTACCACCAGGAGGAGCTGCTGGCAAAGGGTGCTGGCTCCCAGGGGTTCTGGCTCCACATTCCTCTCCGCTGTCTACAGACTTTCCTGGGAATAGAGCTCTGCAGGTCAGCAGATACCAACCTCTATCTGCAGATACCTGGATCCACAGGTAGAAATTTATTTCTATGCAGGACTCTGAAATGTGTTAGAAATTAGTTGGGGGAGGAGAGTACATGCACGTCCATCTGTCCGCATAAGGACATGGAATAAATTCCAGTCCTTCATAATATCTCCATTTTCTGCATACATGATTGGGCCATTTGAAGTTTTAGTGCTGCAAGGAGGCTGTGCTATCTAGTCTTACATAGAAAAAGATGCCAAGTATTTCTGGCGCTAATAGTGTGTGACCTTCATTGGTTCCTCTTTTAGACTGTATACTATTCAAGATTCAGGTTCTTTGCTTGATACTAACTCATTATTAAGAGAGTCCTCCTCATCTGTGACTCATTTAGACAACTAGACTCATCCAAGATGTTGATGCAGTTGTACGTTTGTGAACTCTCTCGGATTCTTACTTGAACTCTCTACTGATGGGGGCGGGGGGAGCTGAAAAAACATAACCCTGACAATTCTTGGAATAGTTACACATATGTACTTCAGCTATAGTGTGTCAGCTGATGGGGGCGGAGGGAGCTGAAAAAACATAACCCTGACAGTTCTTGGAATAGTTATACATATGTACTTCAGCTATAGTGTGTCACCACCTGAGTGAAGAGTTTTCTGCAGTAGTACTGCCAGGACATGGCATGTGCCTTCTGCCTCCACGTGGCCCCACCCAAGCCATATAAGTGTGGTGCTATTGTGGCTCCCCATCAGTTTCTTCTTACAACCTATAGCCTGAGTTAGAGCTCATCATTTGGTTTACCTCACAGATGTTTTTTCTGCATAGAAAGCTAAACTAGCTAGCTGTCTTAGCTGTAAATAGTTACCCAGTATTACCTATTAATTTTTTTATTTTTACTTTATAAAGTTCATTTTTAATAGTTCTTGTGCATCACATTAGTGGCAAGCAGTACTCACTGGGCATGAAGTGCTGTCCACCATGTGGGATATCTATCCCAAATAATGACCTTACACATTGCCTTTTATGCCTTGGCATGGGGACTGTTGAGAGGTGCAGTATCTGCTCTTTTTTCCTAGACAAGAATGCAGATTTCCAGATAACCACAGTTCTGGATTCAGCAATGAGGGGTTCCTTGGCACTGGGCTTTAGAGTAAGTGCCCTGCCACCTGCATGCAGCCTGCAAGTGCTGCTGTGATTATTGCTAACACAACCCTTGACTTGGATTCTTCTCCATGGAGAAAGAGGGGGTCAGGCTTTCTCCGAGAAAGCTTCTAGTACCACAGGGTAATTGACAAGCATACCTTCTAAGCCAGGGGTGGGCAAAAGAGCCTCTGCAGGCAAGATCAGGCCTGCCAAGCAGGTTGATCCAGCCTGTGGCTGCCCTACTGCTCCCTTGCCCCCAAGCCAATCAAGACCTGGACATAGGGGAGTGCATGAAGTGTCCTCCCCTCTCCCCACCAGAAGCATGTGGCACCAGAGGGAACCGCCAGCTGCTTTCTAAGGGCCAAGAGTTGGGGGGCAGGGACTTCACGCACTCCCCCACACCCAGGCCAATCAGGATCTGTGGGCGAGGGAGCACAAGAAGTGTCCTATTGTAAGCTGAAAACGGTGGCCACCCAGTAGAAATTCAAATGCCTGTAAGCTGAAAACTTGGGTGGCCACCCAGTAGAAATTCAAATGCCACCCAGCTGATTATCACAGTGCCCACAGCTGGCAGCATATGTTTTTGCTGGTAGTGCACATCTGCACATACCTTGGTGCACATAAAATTTATTCTGCCCGTGGACAGAAAAAAATAGAGGGAGCATTGGACATAAACACTACCACAGACAGAAGCTATTAGTACCATGTCATCAATTCAAATGTCAACAGGGTTTTTTTTGGCATAGACAACCCCACTGGCTTGGGAGGCAGTAAAGGATTTACTTTGCCTATCGGTTCCAGACTTTCTTTGGTGGAGTACTACTTGATGCTGGGAGCACCTATGATACTGGGTCCCATCTATCTTCTCAGCTCTGCTACAGACACTTAACGGTAAACATGCCAGTACCATCTAAAAAGCATGGAAATGGCTCAGTGCCTTTGCTGTTAACTTCTTCAACACCAGTTGTAAACAAGGCATGCTCTGCTGAGACACTACTGAGAGTACCAGTTCAGGGTGAATTGCTTAGAAACTGGCCATCACCACCCAAAACTGGGGATCCTTCACGTACAAGGTATCCCAAACCAGCCCAAAAGAGAACTTCTGTTTCACTATAGAAGCAGTTCCTTCAGATATCCAAGTTCTCCTGCATCACCACTAGTAGCACTCCTCACAGGGATGAGTGGTTATGAAAACCAAAATCCCCCATTAAAGGTTTTTCTGACCCAAAGGATATACCTCAGATCTTACCCAGAAGTCATGTTGTTGCTAGTTCTATAGTATCTAAAATCTAAAGGCTTATTTATAGTAAGGAAGAGAGAAAGAAAGAAATGTGATCATTAGAATTGTTAAAAGGATCAAATGCATACAACATTTGCAAAGTTCTTGGTTGAGGCTTGTGTCCATGATGGAATAAACGGCAGGCTCAAGTCAAGTCTCTAGTTACTTCCAAATCATTGTTAGAATGCAATGGCGCAAATCCGTAGTCCAGAGCCTAGAACAGTTGTGAAGCTAGAGCAGGAAAGAGTTAAAATGGTGGAGTTCCCAAGGCCTTTTATATCTTCTCGTATGTAGAGAGCTCCCCTTGTTATTGCTGTGGAAAAGTACAGCAATAAGATGATGTTGAATCACATGAGGCATAACAAGGGCCAATCACATGTCCATCCTTAACAGAGTTCATTGCGGGTAGAAGCCATTGCTCACATGCCAGTCTAAATGTCTCTCAGGAAAGCTCATCAGATGTGGATTGTCGCCTTCCAGGGTCCATTGTCAGTCCAGTACTTCTGTTCAACTTGACTAGTCCTTCAAAGTACACTAGCTCCTTTTGTTGTTTCCCAGCAGCAAACATTTGAAATTGGGTTGTGGGTAGGAGTGCAGTGTCTGATCAGAAGGTTGGATGTGGGCGTGGGTAGGAGATTGGGGTGCTTACCCAGCACAGTTCCATTTGGCAAGGAACACATGGAACTTCCATGCTAGCTAGGCCTCTACATCAGTCCTAAGAAGCAGGGGAAAAAAAAGACACTCGTCTTACTCATGCAACTCACAGCACCAGGGTTCCCCTCATGCTCCAACACCTTTGTGAGACGAGGAGTGCCAAAACCTGGCTTTCCCCCATGGCTGGATTAACTCTTCTCGAGGCCTGGAGCTAGTACATTTTTGGGCTCCTCCAGGCTCCAGCACAGAGCTAAAAAGAGGGGTTCAGTGTGGGGGAGAGGTTGCCAGGGAGCAGGGTGGGGGTGTGAGGTCTGGGTGGGAGGCTGGATGCAGGAGTGGGATAGGGTGAGGGTGCAGTTTTTGGGCAAGAGGTTAGGTGCAGGAGCGGGCTGTGGGTGGGGGTGTAGGATCTGGGCAGAAGGTTGGATGCAAGAGAAGATGGGATTAGGGTGCTTACCCAGCACAGCTCCGTTTGGTGAGGGGCACAGATTGCTCCACACTGTCTTGCGCTTGTAGGCTCTGCCCTCTGTCCCTTGAATTAGCTGCCATTCCTGACCAGTTGGAGCAATGGGGGTGGGAACAGAGCTTCCCTATGCTAGTTTCCCTGTGCTGCCATTCCCCTAGGCAGGGCATAAGAAGAACAGCAGCACACAGTGCTATCTCCTCTTTCCAGGTAGAGCTGGCGACACAGGTGCTTTAGTGCTTGCTCCCTGCTGCTTCCTTCCTGCAGCAGAGAGCTGGTGTCTAGCTATGCAGGGGAAAGCCAAAGCTTGGGGATTCACCCCAAAGCTGGAGCACCACTACCAGGAGGGGAAGGAGAGCCCCAAGCCTCGCTGTGGGCAGATCAAGGCAAGCCAGGAGGGACACATCCAACTCATAGGCGATAGACTTTCCCATCCCTAATCTATAAACTGGACAAGAACCATCTGGACAAACTTGTATCTGTTTCCCAATGGGTTCTGCAGTCACTCAACTCATGGGAAGACACTGCCAATATCAGTGCAGGAGTCCCATTCATTCCAATATCTCTACGATCATGATAACCTCAAATGCCTCACTCTTGAGATAGGAGACACAGCTGGGACCCCACACAATACAAGGCAAATGGTCACTACAAGAACAGCTCTTCTGTATCAACCTTCTGGAGTTGAGAGCAGTCAGAAATATTTATCATTTTTCATTTTATCTTTCTAATCTGAGCAAGTTCAAGTAAGATAATGACAGACAGCATGTATTGCCTGTATATTAAGTTTTTCTGATGAGGAACAGAATAATGTTGTCATGCTCTCATTTTCTCTGGACACACAATTGGCCAGAGAGAGGGGGGTTGGTGAGTGTAGCAAGCACAGGGCACAGCCCACTAGTATTCTTTAATATATTACATTTATTGCCAGGGAGACACAGATTCCCCCCTCTCTGTACCAAATAATAAAACTCTGGAATTAATGTATAGTTAAACATTGTCATCTCAGGTGAACTCCCTCGTGTACAAAATACCATGGCAGATGACCTCCACAGATATTTCTCCATAAATTACAAATGGGAGCTGGATGCTTAAGTCCTCTACACAATATTCTTAACTTGGGAATTCCCTGAGATCAATATTTTTTCCCTACCAGCTAATACTAAGTGCAACAAACTCTATTTTAGGAAAGATTTTGATCATTAATCTCTAGAAGATGGCAGTTCCATTTCATGAACTTGGAGTCCTCTTTTTATGCACAAGCAGGACCGAGCAGTAGATATCTTGATTTTACCACCTTGGCGAAGATAAATGAGATAACAAACCTAACTTGTCTCTTACCCATCTGTTTTCTCAGACTGGTCAGGCACTTAACCCCAACCTGGAGGTTCTTCTGCTCCTTGCACGGCTCCTCAGCGGTTCTCAAAGTGAGAGATTTCCTCTTATTCATTAGACGGGCAATTGGCATTGAACAGTAGAAAGGAATCTATAAAATATAATCTCTTCTAGAAATGGACATGATGTTTTTGGTGTAATAGATGAAAGCTTTCATCTGCCTATTCTCTTTCCAGAATCTCTGATTACCTGTTGGAATTGAAAAAGGTGGGGATTTTTTGAGAGTTCCATCAGAATTATCTGTAATTGCAGCTTTTCACTCTCCCTTAGGTTGTTTGGTTTTCACCCATCCATTCATTATGAGATTTGAAAGACCTAGTAAATCTCATCTGATCAACCAGAGATCCTTTTCCAATCTGAATCTTGTTTTTCATTGTCTCATGAACCACCCATTTGAGTTACCTGCTATGTGCCCTTATTACATCTATCTATTAAAACAGCTGTCTTGGTGCCCTTTGGGTCACGGAACTGGGTTCTCTACTGGCAAACCCTCTATTCACAGTGTTCTCTACAAAAAGGTGTTACTTTGCCCCCATACAAAACATTTACCCAAGATTTCTTCTGGATTTCATATTAATCAGACATTTACCTTCCAGTTACTTTTCCTATACCCTAGATGTGAGGAGGCTATTAGTCTTTTTCCTGGATAGAAACAGACCTCTTCAGAAAAATTTCCTAGGTTTTTTTTGTGTCAATTGCAAACAAGTCTCAGTGATTCCCAATAGATTTCTGGTAGGAATTGGCTGATAATCAACCTTCCCCTAGAGTGATGGCTCGTTCTACAAGGTGGCAGTCTACTGTTGTATCTTTTCAGATATGTTTCAGTTGCTGAAATCTACAAAGCTGAAATCTGAACATGCATATCTATTTTCTCCAACCATTATGGTTTTGATTTAATACTGCTCGATAAGATGCTGCAGGAAGCGGTGCAGTTGTCTCTTCAGTACTGAACTCTTCCCTGAAGTTCCTTCTTCCTTTGGGGAAGTACGGTACTTGAGTCACCTGAAGTGGCATATTCATAGGGATCTATTCAAAGAAGGAGCAGTCACTTACCTTATAGTAACTAGAATTCTTTGAAATGTGTCAGTCTATTGGTGCTCCACCACCTCTCTTCCTTCCCCTTTGATTCAGATCATCCCTTGTGAAGCTTTATAATAGAGAAGAAACTGGTTTGGCCTCACAATACTTTATATTCTTGGTTTGGGGGCACAAAGATGTGAAAAACACATATGCTGGCTCAATGGGCACTATTACCAAAAATTTCCAATCAAAGGTGCAAACAGACATGCACACTTGAAGTGGAAAACCCATATGGACGTATATTCTAAAGAACTCCAGTTATTACGTAGGGTGAGTAATCTCTCCTTTGTTAGTGGTGAAAGGATTTCATTGCAATGACAGCTTATCACACACAATTAAGTTGAACAGGCCATATAGAGTGCAAGAATATGAAGTTTATTAGGCGAATGAAGATATGTTGTTCTTTGCTTTTGGGGCTTGAGTGGATAGTGCTTTCAGTGCTCTTTTGAGGCCTGTTAACAATTTTCTAAAATCCCTATCTAATTTTTGTAATAGAATTTTTATATGGGTGTGTATGATTGCTTACTTAACTATTTACCTTATTGAGTTTTACTGAATATGCTAAATTTGTCTTTTTGCTCTCTCATCAGATAATGATTATTGTGAGGTGCAGTGGAAAATGTAGTAGTAACTGAATAAGGAGCAAGGAAGTGGGAGATTGCATGGAGAAGATGGAAAAACGTGCCTGTATTTCAGATGAGATGTTTATGTATTTCCTTTGATATGTTTCCTCATTTTTAAAGATACCTGCTGCAGGAATTACACTTTATCTTAAACATGTCAACCAAAGTGCGTGGCGGATGGCCCAGACATTTTTTTTTTAAAAACCAAGAGTGATTTATCATGTAATAGAGGCTTTGCCATATTTAGGTGTTAGGTGTAAGCAGTTAAAAGGATTACCATGTTTTGAAAGCACCTGCTTCTAGCTTTTCACTTATGCACTAAAATGACTTTATCCCCATTACTAAAGATTCTATTTCATTTTCAGTTGACCAGTTAGTCTATTTAAATGATTGTTTGCATCACTGGTCCATATTTTTTTAGTTAAACTGATAGCATACTGAAATTTCATTTGTCACTTATTAACCAGTGTCACCTGAACTATTTTAATAGTTTTTGCATATTGAGGCAAATTAGTCTTTGTGACATCATTGAAAAAGTAATTTTTTTCAAAGGGATAATGGAATTCATTTGAAACTGGAGAATTTGTCAATCTTTTAGTAAATACATTAATACTTTGAATTATGCCACCTTCTCTAACTAAAGCTGTGCAGAAGTTCAGGTTGCTCTCTTTTCCCCTGCTGCCACACACAAAAATAAAATGGGATAACCTTGAGTGCTGTACTGTTATCTCCTAGAACAATAAATGCCTAGATTTTCCTTGTACTCTGTTCCTTTGTCAGGAGAAGCATCATATTGGCAAAGTAAGGTGCGTGTTTTTTCCAGAGACAATGGCTAAAAAGTGTTACTAGGTTGTGTGTACAACAGGTAAAATATTATACATCAAATGAGACATAAAATTTTCAATTGCCCCATTGAAGATAGATGGATTTTCAACCCCTGAGTAATAACAAGCTCAGTTGGAAAAATTTAAAAGTTAAATTATTTTAGCACTATGTAAAAGTTAGTGTGTATTATTTCTAATCTTAATAAATAAATACTTGATTTTTGTATATTTGTTGACTTTTATATCTACTACGAAAAATTCCTTTCTTGTCCATTTTGAGGGGAGAAGAGGCAGGAGAAGGAAGTAATGTTAAATTTTTTTTTGCTTCTCTGGGATTTTTTTCTTCATTCTTCTTTACATGTTTTAGAACTAGAGTGTCAATTTAATTGGAGGAAGAAGATCACAATCCTTAGTTCCCTGGGCTGGGTTACAAATGTAATAATCTACAGTGAGATTCCCACTGATTCAGTCGGAGATTTGTACAAAGATCAGAGGTAAATGAAAGCTTAGGTAAGACATCACAACCAGTTATTATTTATTCTGTACCTTAATATTGTCTTTAGTAGAAAAATTCACTTTTATGACCCATGTTCTTCCTATCTTGTGTTTCTCTTCTTTCTCATCTTTTCTGTATTTCTTTGTCTCCTTTTTTATTCCCTCTGCATTTCATTTTCTGCAACAACTCTGGTTTTGAGTGCATGTTCGTGTCCATCCCATCTTAGATGTGTGTGCTCACCACCTTAATTGGTGCCAGAAGCTTTTCCCCCAGTGGTATCGATAGGAGATTGGCTTTGGTGCCCCTGGGTTGGCACAGCATATAAGGGGTGCCATTGGCTCCCCAACCCTTAGTTCCTTTTTAGTGATAGTGCTGGAATGCTCCTTTGTTCTAGCAAAGTTTCTCTATTTCTGTCTGTTGGCTACAAACTTTCATATTGTATTCAGTTTTCTTTCATTAGTGTAGTAGTGTTAATCTTTGAGTCACAGAAAAGGACTTTGTCTTAGGATGGGGCATGCCCCGCTCCTGGGACTTAAGAACTGCAACCAGTGCAAGAACCCTATGCCAGTCAGTGATCCCCAGACCACCTGTCTGTGGTGCTTTGAGGCGGCGTGCATTAGCAACAGATGTTGCATTTGCAAAAACTTACTCAGATTAAAAAGGAATGGGACATTAGGCTTAAAACTTTCCTACTTTCCTTATGGAGCTTGTGTTGACACCAGCATTGGAGTAGTTGTGCTGAGGCTTGGCACACAGTACTGCCATTTTTGATCCACTTCCCTGGTACCAGCTCCTAAAAAGAAGTCACGCAGAGGCCATTTCCCCTTTCACAAAGGAAAGCCTGGACCCACAAAGGGCAATTGACTCCTGCATGTGGAAATTGGGGCCCACCTTCTGGCAATCAGGCCAACAGTCACAGAGAGGCACTAGATGCTCTGCACAATGACCTGAGAGTCCGGCATCTGGAAATGATGTAGACCCCAGTGGGTTTTGGTCACCTGTTCCCATCAAACCTTGTTTAAAGCCCTCCTCACTAGGTTAGCCAGTCTGTATCCATATATGGCCTTCTCCTTCCTCGAAAGGTGAACACCATCCCTGCTTAGTAGTCCTTCCTGGAATAGCATCCTGTGGTCGAGGAAGCCAAAGCCCTCCTGGCAACACCAGCTTCGCAGCCAGGCATTCACCTCCAGTATGCACCTCTCTCTGCCTAGACCCCTACCTTTGACAGGAAGGATCGAAGAGAATACCACCTGTGCTCCAAACTCCTTCACCTGTACTCCCAGAGCCCGTAGTCACTCTTGATCTGCTCAGTGTCGCACCTCACAGTATCATTAGTACCCACATGGATGAATAGCATGGGATAGTAGTCAGAGGGCCGGATGGATAATCCTCGAAAGTGCCTCCGTAACATCTTGGATACGGGCCCCCAGCAGGCAGCATACTTCCCGAGATGACACGTCAAGATGACAGATGGGCGCCTCCGTCCCCCTCAGAAGAGAGTCTCCGACCACCACTACACTATGTTTTCTATTTTCAGTGGTGGCAGCAGACCTCCCAGCCTTGGGGGTATGAGGCTTCTCCTCCTCTGTTCTGGGGTTGATTCCTTATCTCCTGTGTCAAGAAAAGCATAACGGTTTCTAATACCCCGGTGGGAGGGTTCACAGCAGGGGTGGAGCACTGCCTGCTGCCAGAAGTAACCAGCTGCCAGTGTCTACCCTGAGCCATCTCCTTCTCCACCTATGGTGTGTCAGCAGTCCTGTGTACTGGGACAGCTACCTCAGCTGTCTCCACATGAACACTGTCCAGGAAATGCTTGTGGATTCGGATGCTCCTTAACGTAGCCACCTTCTGTAGCTCTCCCACCTGCTGCCTGAGAGATTCCAGCAGCAGGCACCTTTCACATTGCATGGTCCTCCTAGCCTGGATATCAGTAAGTGGGAATTGCTAGCCATAGTCCCTGCAAAACCACACCAGGATCTGGGTAGAGGCATCCATGCTCAGGTGGTCTGTCTGGCTACAGGCGCAGGTGGAGGAGACAGATGCAGTGCTGGCACAGGTTCTCACATATCATGCGAATGTGTGAGCAAGAAAGGAGGAAAGTAGGGGGAAAATATTACTTCTCTAAACTGTTCTAATAATGGTAACAGAACCTAAAATGTTTATGCAGGGATGGGGGTAAAAGCCACTTAAGCTTAATTTAGCAATTATGATTTTCATGATTTCTAAGAATAAAAACTATATCTAATAAATGAAATGGCCTTACTGAAATTACTATAATTTTGATCAACTAGATTTAACTATAGGTAGCTTGTGGCTCAAAACATTATCTTAAACATATTTCATGAAGATATACAAGATAGCCATTTTTACGTTTGGATCCCTCCCCCCTGTCATGTTAAAAATGCATTTTCTTGTCTTTTTAAGGATATTGAAACACTAGGACTAGTAGATATCTGCAGGCTTCTTTCATAAAAGCTCTGTGGTTAGCAGGCAGGCAATGTCAGAGGTCATGACTAACAGAGGAATTCATTTGAGGGAATTACATTCCCAAAGCGGAAGAGAACCCTGTTTTGTAATTAGAAAGGATACAAAGCATCCTACTTAACTGTTTCTCGGATACTTTTAAACACACTTGTTCATTTCATATACTAAATAATGTGTCTCTAAGGCATTGTAAATGAATCCAACTATTCAATAGATGTCATTTCCTGCTAAATTAGCTATGCCCTTATGACTGGGGTCCAGATCAAAGGCCACTTTTTCATTTCCAGTACATTCTTCAAAGTAGCATAGTTAATCATTCATGGGAATAAAATGCTAACTAAAATTTACTTGTCTCTGTTAAAGAGCTGGGTCACAGAAAAGCAAGTTAAGTACTGACTATAAACAGTATCACAATATTCAGCACTCTAGCAGAAGTTTTCATGAGTGCCATTAAACAGCAGTAGCTGTAAATTCCCATGGAATCGGTAGAAACCAACCCTTGCTATGTGATAAAGTGCAACCTTAGATAATTCACACACACCCAATGGGTCAGGGAGCAGGGTTGGGCAGACCGTGTCCTACCAGCAGCCCTGTTCGTCACCTCATCCCCCTGGCATTGTATTGAAAAGTGCCACTCTACATCTCCATGGCTACCATGTGTTCAACTAACACAAAGATAGGCCAGGGGCTGAGAACTGGAAGTAAAGTAAAAGATGCACTTTGCATCAGAAAAATAAGCACCTAACTCACCACCCAGGTGTGCAAAAACAGCATGCAAGTTAAAATTTATTTGTACATGCCTTGGTGTCCAGAATGTGTCACATTTGAGACTGTCTCAGTCAGACTTTCAGAAAACAACTCAAACACCCCCAAACTGGAGGTATATTCTATATTCACATTTAACCAAACCAGCAGTAATTGTGTACTCCTAAATCACTATGCTAGCTGGCCATGGAACTACAGCCAGTCCCCAGACTCTCCAATCTGTATTGCTCTTCAGACAAACTGGGCTTAATGATAAAAGATTATCAGAACCAGAAATTATCACACATTTGGTTACTCCCAGCCCTTGAGGACCAGTCACTTACCCCAGGGTAAGCTCTACTTCAGATCTTCCCAAAGACAATGATGAAGCCAATTCTTTAATAACCAGTAAATATTTACTTTAGTTTAACAAAAATAAATTAGTTTTATTGAAATATTAAAGCAGGTAAAATACATTACAAATGAATTAAAGTTTTCAAGATGCTAGCAGAGATGTAGTAATTTGCTGATTTCCAGTAATCTCTCAGGGTCACGCAGAATGTCTAGGGATCTCAAACAGTTCAGAATTCCACTCTGTTGGAATTCATCAGTCCAGCGATGCAGGATCATTCCTTTAAATCAGAAGCTGACAATTGTCCTAACTCTTGTGGGTACTTCCTTTTGATGATGAAAATTTGGAAATGCAGACTGGGACAGTGAACCCCACTGAATAACACAATGGTTCTTGCTTGGAAGTCAGCTACCTTGTTCATTTATATTTTGAAGGCTCTGATCTTGCATAGGTAAATATAATGTAAATACATTGTGATAACAAAAAGCAATTGCTCCTTAGTTTTGACATTTTACACAACTACTTTCACATCTAAGCACTGACGCAAATTTCAATCTACTTACGTACAGTGGGTTTTCGAATTTCATTGCACCACAACTCTCTTCTAACAATGAAAATTAACATACAACCTCAGGAAGGGCTGAAGCTGAGCCCTGCTGCCTGCGTCTAGGTGAGGGAGGGAGACAAAGCTCAAGCCCCAGGGCTTCAGCCCCATGTGGGGGGTTCTGTAAACGTAAGTCCCACCACCAAGGACTGAAGCCTTTGGGCTTCAGCCACAGGTAGTGGGGCTCAGGATTGAGCCCTAGGTCCCAGCAAGTCTAATACCAGCCTCCAGGACCTCATTTTACAGTTCAAAAACTGCTGAGGTAGAGGATACCAATTACAGGAAACAAATTGGCAGAGACAATAACATCATTTTACTGTCTTCCCTGAATTTAAACAAATGTAATTACTGGTCAGCAGTAAAGTGATAACATTCTACTTTATTCTTTTCTGACAAGTGAATTGACTTGATTACTATGACTTGTTAGCATTTGTT